ATCATTGCATTGACGTAAACGCGCCTAAGAAAGTGTTAACCTCAACAAATGTTCTTACAATACAAGGCATTAAATAAATAAAAACAAATTGCTAAAACAAATATCTGCATGACAAATTGACACCATGTTTATTACTCTATACACGGCTGGCGCCCTCTACATACTTGTGAAATGTTAATAAACCTATTATTGACTTATAAAATATTGAAAAAATGAGAACATTGTGCAAAAATATCCTGATTTGTTTCTAAATCATAAGCAAAAATGTTAGTAATCTTTTAACGGTACTGTTCCATATATTGGGACCAAAGCCTTGAGACGGCGATTAAGACGAACGTACATTGATTTAGACTAGTCTCCTTGTCTGTTGCCCTAACTAAATCTCTGTTTTCAAGTCGTATTGCTCTTGTTCTTCACGAAAGTGTTCGATTAGCTTGAATAATGATGGATGATGACTATATTGCGTCTGTTGAAATGCACGATGCCAATCTCCATCTGAGTTGATTACTCGATCTCGGATGTTCCAGAGTTGTAAGGTAAATCTTGGATTAGCACGTAAACCTTTTCTTTGTCTACCTATATAGGTGTCTTCCAAGTAGTTGACCAATGGAGTCATTTGTGGAGGACAACTATCAACCAAATCTTCGAAAGCTGCAGGCACATCATTTTGACGTGCATTCGTAAATTTTCATCATGGTATGCAATTGCAAGATTAAAATTCTTGAACCTTCAGCCACAGATTCTGAGCGAGGTGAAATAAACATGCAACCAATCTTGTTCCAGAAAGACGTGATAACAGGCATTGTGACTGGCCTTCTCGTAGTATAAAATGATTCTTGATGGAATCAATTTTGGTTTAAGTTCTTTCACTTTTTCAAGGACACGTTCATAGATTTCTTCTGATCTATCTGGAAGCAAGACTTACACCAGCCGATATGAAGAATTGTCAATCAGTGCATGCATTGTAAGTACTTGACAGAAAATATTTGGTGCAACTTTGAATGTTCCATCGATGAACTAATGATCGTGTTGTTGAAGAAGATTCAAATTCGTTGCTGTTCTAAACATAAAAGTTCGTTTTTCGTCATCATCCCCGGAATCCTTCATCATCGTTTCTTGTTGTCTGATGAAGTGTATTTGGAATGACAACAGAATTCACCGAACCGTAAGGAACTGCACGTTGCTTTCAATATCGTTGAATTGTTCTTCATTTTGCTGTATACTCAGGGAGATGACTGGTTACTTCAAAGGTAACTCCAAGTGTGCTTTGTTGGATGATTTGACCAGGATTCTCAGCGGTGTTAACGAATTTCAGCCATACCTTTAATTGCTTCATTTCGATCTGGATATAATTCACGATTATGTTCTGACACAACAACCACAACATCTGTTTGACTAACTTTGATGCGCCTAGAACAATCTCGCCTTGAACATTTCCATGATGTACTGCCGTCAGGCAGAACTCTGTCTTTAAGAAGTCTATATCCATCATACAAAAGGTGATCATTTTGCTTCTGTAATAGCATTTTCATAATGCTTGTATTTATTTTTAGATTAATTTTTAGGCATCCGTATTTATAACAAATTTGAACAGATGACAATCCTTGCCAATTAACATGCCTCATTGGTCAATTGTTGTCGATCTACGGAGGGTTAAAGTTCTTTTAATAATTGACCGAAACCAGAGTGAGTGGAAAACGTTGAGCAGACACTAATAAAGGCTAACAGAGAAGACAATACAAAACTGTTAACTGAGAAGACTAAGCGCAAAAAATCAATCTTACGGTCGTCTTTACAATTTAACTAAGGCACTCTCCGTTACGGATCACTGCCATCTCACGTCTGTCTGCGTGGATTCGAGTCTAAGATTCGGCGAATGTGGTTATGTGAGAAGTGGATATGTGAGAAATCTTGCCAGTGCTTCTCATGGGTTGGTGGTGCCGCGGATTTCCCGGTTTCTTTCTCCACCAATTATACTGGCCGCCATGTATCGTGTGCTGAAAAATAGCGTTAAGCCCCAGAACAACAACAACAAAAACAACAATTTAATTGTGTGGATCAAGTAACTTGAACGGATGAGAAAATTGAGAAGTTGGCATTGCTTAGAAATAATGTACTATGAGAAAAGTTAGTTGATCCACACAGTTAAATTGTAAAGAAGACCTTATAATTTGCTTGTGTCAATTGTATTCTCAGTTAACATTTTTGTATTGTTTTCTCAGTTAACCTTTTGTATTATCTTCTCAATCTTATCTTTGTTTAAATGCGCGTTTTTGTCTTGTGCGTATTTGTCAGGTTGTTTATCATTGTGTACTTTTGTCGGCATGCTGATGTCAGCGCACTTTTGTCTTGCACGCTTTTGTTACGTCGCTGGCAGGTGCTAGTCCCATTGTTTTAAGTCTTTGGTATGAATCGACCGGGGTTAGAACCATCAACCTCCCGCATCTGAGGCGGACGCTGTAACACAAATTTTAATATTATAATTCAGTAGGTACTCCTTGCTCTATGACAACAACAAGAACTACTACAAATATTATTGTTGTCTTTTTCCATCATCTTAATGACGACGATAATGGCATTTGAATTAAAGCCATTGGAACCTGGAAGATTTAAAACAAAAACAAACAGAACAATAAACAAAGCTTGAAAATGTAGAGGCAATGAATGAAATGATACATGTTTTTATATGTTTAACGTTTACACACAACACGTGTTTTACCATTATTCTTATATCATCAATGGAGGACCGGGCTCAGTTACTTCCGATGATTCTAATAAGTGACGCCACCATTAAACAAAGAGACGAAGGAAAATAAAATCATATCTAGCTCTGGTAGTTATCTGTACTTTACCGAAACAGTCTTGTTTTTACAATAACGCTTGAGGTAGATAAGATATGTTTTATTCGAGTTTCATCTTTTGCATTATAATGTATTTAAAACTCTATATTTTAAAATATACATGAATTTAGAATGTACCAAGGGTGTATCTGTTTGGTTTTATTTGATCGCAAAGAAAGATAAATGTTTAGCTAAACTCTCTCAGTCATATAAACCCAATATATATGGTTCTTTCTATATGTTTATCTTTTATTTCAATTGTCATTTAAAGATAACATAGTTACCAAAAAGCAATGATCTCTCAAAGTATAATGATATTATTCTTACAAGAAACACCACCCATTTGAGTTGTGCAAGACTTCTGGTAAGATGGCAGATTTCAAGCATATGGAACCTTACCAACTGCATGTTTCTTTCCACAGAAACGATAACCGAGCAATCAATGCCAGCTACATAAATTATAGACCAAATAAATACATAATTGTTATTTAAAGAACGATCAAGTATGAAATTTTTGATAGGGATTTGCGAAGGTGGAAAGGTCGAACCTGTGTCAATATATCGCTTTATTTAACGTCAAGGTGTATGCTCTGTAATTCAAATTACACCCATCAATCATACATTAAAAATAAAGGTAATCAAAACTTCTTTTGACAACACTGAAATAAAGAGGTCAGTTTTACATAACCAAAATAACAATAGAGGATGCTTTTCATCGGTTATCAACATTCCGAGTATTCATATTTATGTCCATTGTTTAAGAAGTCAGGCAGGAAGTAAGACGGTACAGGTCACTAGCGAAGTATACTATTTTGGAACAGTTTTGAAATCCGCCATTTTTACAAATCCAAAGCGATGTAACACGTTCACAGATACCCTCGATGTCCGTGTCCACTGAAAAATCTTCCTTCATATTACGCTGTAAATGGTAAGTGACTACTTCGACGTCTTCACTGTATCTACCTTTGATGGGCTGTACAGTATTCAACGAAAGATTGGGATATACTTGTGTGAAGGTATAGTGCTTTAAAAAAAATCTAAAACATGTTCATTTTCTTTTATGCATATATTTTATATCAACAGAGGAGAACAAGTAAAAAAAATGATTACACTTAAAAAAGTAGCGCAATCTTGGATAGTTTACTTGTGAGGAAGTATAGTCGTAGATTTTTCAAACTTATTGAACGAACATATATAAGCATAAAGAATCGAAAATATATGATTTTCATTGACACATAGCTACGTGTTATACACAATTATTGAACATTTTCTAAACGAAGATTTCATCATTGTATCAGATACATTTGCTTCCGTGTGTGATTTTATATATAATCCATTTATTATATATAATTACGCGGAACCTGTCGATATGCGCTTTGCTTGGCATATAGGTATCCATTTGCAAAGAGCATTCAAATGGGTACGAATTTCCGCTAGCACAGCGAGTTGTTTCCTGTGCTCTTTGAACAACTTTTTGTTACACCCTGTCCAACCCGTTTTGGGGGACGAGCGCATGGTCCAGTGGATTAGAGTACTAGTATAAGAGAGGATGGTGATGTGTGCCGTCTCATGATGCAATAATCCAGATACCTCTGATATGAGAGTGTCATTCTTCCGTGGCGTTCAAAAAATTAAAGTTGCATTAAAGTTGCATAGCAACACAATCAAAATGAAGTTTCCCTACGTTTGTCCTAATACAAGGTCTTCAGAAAGGGGAGGATAAACAATGTACACACATACATACACACACACACACACAGTTAGGCGTTTAGAACAATAAATATTTGCAATTCTGCTCAGAGAAACAAAACTATCTAGAATGATGAAAAGTTCTAAACAATAGTTTCTCTTTGCATGTCATGCACAAAAGTTTCTTTTTTCCAGTATGTCATCCAAAGATGTCCGATATATTATACCTTCTGGATGTGTGTGTGTGTGTGTTTTGATTTTTAGCGTAGCTTTAACAATTTTGCGCTACGATATCTACAATGGCAATATATAGTGACGACTAGCACTGGGGAATCATGCCGTAGACATGTAGCATGATGTCCCATCCAGTCACATTATCCTCACACCAGGTCAACCAATCCTAACACTAGCCTCTTAATGCTGAGCGTCTTATGTGACAACTATTAGTAACAGTTTTAGAAGTCTTTGATA